TATTAGTCATGGTCATCCCTTGGTAATAGATCTTGTTTCAATAAAATGACGTATTCTATAAACCAAGGTCGTTTCAAAGTTTACTAATTTTTTTTTTTGGTGGAAGACTGTTCAGAAGGAATGATTGTACTGTAGGTACAGTCTTGGGTGAAAGTTAGGGAGTCATAAACATCCCAGGGAAACCCTATGGACAGTTGGGATAACATTTATCTGGAATTTTGATGGAAAAAAAAAATAAACAAAATGTATTTGATTATTGGTAATAATAACAATAATAGGCCTATTCTTAAATAAACAGAGATACCACTTGTAACCTAAGTTGTGGCATATCACAACTGAGTCGAGCGCCCTCAATGTATGTTTTAAGTAATTGAATTTCAATCGAATTGTGACTATTTAAAAAATGTTCAATTTTGACATTTTGCAACGAGAAAAATAAAATAATTTTTTTTAAGTTCATGTGAAATATAGGTCAGTGCATTTTTGTGACTGATGGACTTAAATTTAGTATCAATTGACACATTTTTCATTTCTCCCTCTCCCATTCTGCTTCTTAAGATAAATTCCCCCCGTCTATGACTGTCTCCAGCTGTGAAAAACATGCACTATTGATAGTTGTTGGCATTTTCAAAGAATTTTTAAAAATTCATATTGTCAAGAAGTTTTTTTCAAATATACTGTATTACTTTCTGAAATAATTTGAAAGAATCGAATGTGTGGTTTGAAAACTTGATATGCGAGTATATTTTTCTAAATGCTGTGAAGTGTTAATTTCCTGAATTTGAAGACAATTCTAACTTAATCATAATCAAAATCGTATTTGTTATTATAAAAAATTTAATTTTTTTTTAGTTTTTACTTGTGCCAAAAACAATTTAACTTAGGAAAAAAATTGGATTATCATTATTCAGCTTCTAGTTAATTTTCATATGAATCAGATATTCCTGTATTCCTATTCATACTTAAATATGATCAACTTATCATGAAACCCTAAAACCAAGATGAAACAGGCACATACATATATTAGGTTAATGGGACGATTAGACTTTCCTGGCAACAGCTCGACTGTACATCTGTCTGGCTTACCCCGCTTGCAGTCCCTCGGTACTGAGAAGCAATCTATGGGTGTCCACAGGAGACTAGGGCCTAGTTCAACAGTTCATATGTTTTTACTGATTAGGGAAAGCGTGTGCAAATCGCACTTAACTGTGTGGAGTACGTGTGCTGCTGTGGGTTGGCTCAACATGTCATGAACATGTGTGAAAGTTGAACTATAGGTCATCCTGGAAGTTAAAAGAATGGAAAAATAAATTGCTTCCCATATCATCCCACACGATTCAACTAGCATGTGATATGGTCATGTGACTGATATGTAGTCATGTGACTTTTTGCAAATAAATTGCATTCTTTTTATTAGTAAACATTTCTAATACGCTTGTGAATCACATTCTAAAAGAACGCCCTCTTAAGATTGATTGATCATAACAGATGTTTCTAGCTTTCAATCTATCGCTGATCAATCAATCAATTATTTTTCTATCTAGTTTGTCTATCAGTGCAAACCATCCTCCCATAAAATTTTAGCCCAGCTAGCCAACAAACTATCAATCACTCATTCAATTATTCCAATCCACTTTATTCTTCATCACGCAGTTATTTTATTATATAATTTAGTCTAATACTTTAAGCCTCAGTCCTCTTTGAGACTGTTTAAAAAAATTATGGATAAGCAGTGAAAAAAAAAAACCCAGTAAGGTTGGATTGCTTCCAAATCTAATATAAGTATATGGATGAAGATGATAATCAATATATCATAAACATAATTTTGTAGGCTTAAAGTATATAGAGTGATTTATTGTTTATGTGTCAATATCATATAATGGTGATGGAAAACGGATTTTTGCGAAGACTGACCATAATTGAATATCAGTATGTGCAGAAAAATAAAACTAAAGGTGTTAAGAAAGCTCATTCAACCAGATCTCCCGGCGGTTACCTTGGGTCTGGGCCTACTGTATATACCCATTAGCTTTGGTGACTAATTCAGTCTGTTGTTCTCTTTTATCGGAACAAATTGTGACGTTAACATACTAGAGGGTAAGCAAGTGCACCCTGTAGTATCCCTGTTTAAAGTATACTGCCCATATCCTCTGATAGGCTGTATTCCAGCTTCCATGGCAAGGCTTCGGCCTACCTATCCCTGTAGTATGTAGCCTAGTCCTACCCTCCCCACTGAGATGCTATGAAAATTTGAACTCTCTGAATCTCGCGTTTAAAAATCTATTGGGATGGAATGGTGCGTAATTGGGAAATGTTACTACTGTATACTTGCTTGTTAAAACAGGTAAAAGGTACTGAACATGATTGAACAGCTGCAGGGATTGTCATAGTTGCTCAAATGACCAACAAAATTCTAAGAAATTTGAGCATCGTGAACAGAATTGTGGAAATATTTCAGTCTAGCTATGTTCTTATAACAGACACTAAGCTCTATTCATCATTCTTAGTGAATGCTACAGATTTATGATCAAACTCAATCTCTAATTCATACTATAAGCGATATTAAGCTTATGTAATTTGTCTCGATCTTATCACCATATACTGTCTGCTATCTTTCCATCCGTCACTTTTCCTTTCAACGAATCATCTTGACGTGCGATAGAACGTGTTGCGTGCTTGACTAGTAAGCATATCATGATACGGATGTGCCTCCTGTCTTGGCAACCTCACTAGGGTGTCTTCCATTCAAGCTATAAAATGTAAACAAGTTTAATTGGCCGTATAACTCCTATATAAGCCCCTTCAAAGTATAAGTATTAATCATTCAAACATATTTCCGTCACTGTTGATTACTCAATCAGTTACTTATTTGGTTTTCATTCTGTATAACAGTACTATCACTCTATGGTAATGATTAGTGAATATTGTGGTATCTATGCAATGTAAGGAATAATATAAAAATAATAATCTCTCCTACTGTTAACCAAGGACACTACTGTAAAATGAATCACAGAATCTTTCATTTGTATTGTAATTTTTTATCCTGTATCTGTTACTTGTTACAGTGTTTGCAGACACATCTGTTTTAAGGTGCTCTGTTGACACAACCCCTGGAGCATTGGAGTCAAATAAATAAATAAAAATGAAAATGAAAAAGAACATATTAATGCATTGAAAGTTGATGTACAGTACTTTAGAACCTTTTATACTACAATTCATATTCAGCAATGAGCCTTGTAATTATATTATTTAAAATTTAATATTTATTATTTAGTTAATATATTATAATTATTTTTATATTATAATTATTGTTAGTATGTAAGTATATTTGTTTTGTATTTTTATTATTTATAATGTTTTAATAAAAAAAAATTTCAAATGCTGAATAACCAAATTTAATAGTTAATTTAATATTTAGTTAATATATTATAATTATTTTTATATCATAATTATTGTTAGTATTTAAGTATATTTGTTTTATTTATAATGTCTTAATGATTTGTTTTTAAATGCTACTTGTGATTTCTCTCTCTCTTTTATGATAGTTTAAATATTTTTAAAAGTAAAATTGTTAAATCATTGTAATTGTATTTTTTTTAACTTTTCACTTAATATTGTTACATATATTGTATTACGTTTTGATTCAACCTGTTAGTGGCAGTTTTTATCACTGTTGGTTTCAAACTGAATAAAATAAAAATCAAATAAAAATAAAAATGAATAACGTTTTCATATCTATTTAAAAAGAAAAAAGAAAAGATACCAATACACATTTGAGATATGGTATGATGTAATAGTTCTTATAAGATTTTATAATAGAAAATGCGAGTCAGTATCAGCAGGAGTTCCATTGACCATTCATTTATTCATGTTTTACAAGAATTTCGTCTCCATCTCTGCTGTTAAAAATCAAATTTTGCCCGTAGCCCAGCTCCCTTCCCCTGATCGCTGTCTAGACAGTACCGTATGACGTGTCTGCGAGCTAATTTAGAACAGAGGCTTCGATCGGATGAAACTTTATAACACTATTCTGCAACTTCAGATCCATTGTTTAAAAACTTGCATAGAATTATAAAAAAGCATAATTATATTGATTGTGATTTATATTTTAAGTACAATTTAATTTTATTAAGAATTATGTTCACTTTATTTTGATATGTGATATATTGAACAAAATCTGTTTATCATTGTGTTCCCTATTGATAAAATCTTAAACGTATCGTGTTCATTAAACAATGTTGTTATTGTTAGCTGGTAATTAAGATTGGGTTATTCATTTCTGGTAAAAGCAACAATTTGTAAATATCATTGATGTTGAACTTAATTTTTTATGACAGATTATAATTGAATATATAGTCATTGTAATCTTGTACTTCCAGTGAAGTTAATATGAAGTACTTGCTGTGGTCTCTCCCAGCATGCTTGGCAAGTGATATGTAAATAGAAAATTATGAACCTGTTGACATTTTATAATAGTTTATCTGTTAGTTTGTTCACGTAGACTTGTTTGTATTTTTACCACTATACACAAGCCATATGTACAAAGCCATTGGTCAGGCTTTTTCTTCTGTTGCTACTTAAACTAAGGATGAAATTTAGAGTGCTTTCTGGTCAAACTAAATGTCACTAACATCTCACAATTCTTCATATTTGTTTTATAACTTACCATTAATTTCTACTATTTACTATTTACTTTCATTTTCTTTTAATGTTTTTTATTAATATTATATTTATTATTACTGTATTGATTATGACCTTGCATTCCTAGGCAAAAATGCAGCGGTGGCTCCAGAAATTGTCCATGGGTCTAATGAGTCCGACAGGGTGTCCAATCCAAAGACAATTAGGTATTTTGTCCATTGAGAGTGGAAATTTCTGCCTGACTCCTGACTATGTTGGCTCCAGCACTGGGCACAAGGTATATAACATGATGCAAATGAAAAATTGTCTCATTTTATATTTTAAAATTTTGATAAATAATTTTGTTTTTTTTTCTGCAGCTGAAATAATCATGTTACAGGGCCTAACCTGTGTCTACCGTAGCAATGTGGACCTGTATTTTTACGTTATCGGCGGATCGTCAGAAAATGAGCTCTTATTGGTTAGTGTGTTGAGCTGCTTGTATGACAGCATCAGTCAGATTCTAAGGTAAGTGCTTTACTTTGAAAATAATCTAATAATAATAATAACAATAATAATAATAATAATAATAATAATATGCTATTTTTAATAATAATACCTTTATTTCATTATAGGAAAATGTATGCTAACTTTTTCAATTAATAGTTATTTTCTAAATAGTACACTAATTCTAAAGAGGGCGCTATTCTTAAAAATTAAATGTTTGAGATTCTAAATATTTTTAAAACTATGCAGTAATAACATTCACAACATACATTGGGTATGTTAAGAATTTTTTTACAAGTTGAGGTCATAACACATGTTTATCTGACATTGTTCTATCATTTTGATTTTGCATGGACTATTTCTATTTGGAAGTTACACTTTCCCCTCTCATGTCAATTGATTTGTGCAACTGGTACAAAAGTAATTCCAATATATTTTTAAAGTGGCAGATACATGCCTGAATGTTGATTGCAGAATTCCATTCTCATGATTATTGAAAATGTTATCATTCTTAATAGCTCTCTTGTGATTGGTTGGAGTGTATAGCATGTCTACATGGTGATTTGTATTAGACTGTGATGTAATCATGGGAGACAAATAAAAAAAAATTGTTATAAGCACTAATATAGTACTGTATATTTTCTCAAATTTTAAAATTTAATTATTTTTAATTATTCACCTAAATTTAAAATATTCCTGGCCTATAAATTGTCTGCCAACCTCACATACTATCAGAAATTCATCCATTTATAGTAGCCTTTTAAAAATTGTTAAAATCTAGGCTGTCCATTCAATAATTGGCTACAATAATGTACAATCTTATTTTTAAGGCTGTGGCTATGCTTACACCAAAGTGATCAAAATCCCAATGTTCTGATTGGTCAACTTGGCTTTACCCCTACCATAAAAATAATACTTGCTATCTTTTGCACATCTCGGCATAAGCATAGCCAATTTTTATTTTTAAATAATTATGTTCTTGAAAGTTTAAATGCTAATTTATAATTTACTATTGTGGTTAGCAATATAATAGTATTGATTTGACCTTTGCAATATTGCTTGTCATTCGTGGTTATATTTAAAAGGTCAATTTGTATGGTTTATTAAATATCATCATAATTCATCTTGATATATTACTCAGGGGAATTAAAACAAAGTTTTAGAGCTCCACTGAACTAAAGTTTAACTAACTATTTTAGTATATGGATATATATATATATATATAAATATGTAACTTAGTATAAATTTTTCTTGTACATTTTTCATAATTCAGTTTATAATTTCGCCAGGAGTAAGAAAATTACCTTATTCTTAATTAAATCTTTTAAAAATATTACTTAATATTGGAATTTAATAATATAGAATAGGTGAAAATATAAAGTTATTTCAGTTATTTAATTTAGCTAATGTTAACTTTTATTTATTACTTATAATTTGACTTATTTTATTTTATGATTATTATATTTAGTTGAATGAAACTTAACAATCCAAGCAACTAAAATATTATGAACGTATAGTATTTCTAATAATATTAAATAAGAATTAATATAAAATTGTATCCTTGTATACTTTTGGTCATGATAAAATATGTTCATATAATTTTTTTAAATAACAGTTTATATTGGTTCTCAATTTGCGGATTAAATTCCATGTAATGTTTGTTCGTATTATGCTATGTTGAGTATGGCTGTGAGTGCATTAGCAATCATATGGGAAGTTAATACTGACAGAGTGATTCTGAATGGTGTGAACAGGCGCCCCCTGGTGGCCGCTCTTCAAGTTTTTGGGGAAATACGAATGAACATTGTATCGGTTGCTTTCGGTCTCCTCATCGGTCAAGCGCTGAGTACGAGCCAATCAAAAATTGTGACTCTGCATTTAATTTCACGTCGTTTCCTCCTACAGTTGAACTGAACTTGATGATTTCGGCAAAAATTACTTTGATTTTATTGTTGAGTTCATAGTAGCTGATATTTCAATGTTAACATTAATCATTGTATATTACATTTGTATTAAGTTGTATCTACATGGTATGGCTCAATTAGGTATAAAATGTTGGTTCTGTAAATCAAATTGGATGTAAAAATTCTGAGACAGGAAATTCTTAATAAAACTCTATGCTCTACAATAGTTGTGAATTGTCAAAGACAAATAATATTCCTTTTATTTATTCTTTCTTTTCACTAGAGATATTTCAATATAAAAATGCTTTATCTCCTACAGTGTATAAATGGTACAGTTTTTCTTATTAAAATTGAGAATAGAAACTTCTTAAAATCTGCATACTCATAATAAATTTAGAAATGTAAAAAACAAAAAATATATAAATAACAATTTTAAAAAAGTTTAAAAAAGTTTTAATTTAATTTATTGGGTATTGTCAGCTACCAGTTGAAAGTATAGAATTAATATAAAACTATTATTTTTTGTTGTTATAAATAATAATCATGATTTAAATATGTTTTTCGAGAATAGCTAAAAATTCTACCTACTAATTCACCTTACCTCCATTGTCACTGTCAGTAGATTCACAGAAAAGGTCATTGAACTATGGTTTGTGAATTCCAATGGTTATAATGAAAAGTTCAATGGTACATTATTACGACTGAGACTTTCTGTTTGGACAAATTTCACGCCATGATAGCCACTGTCACCATGTACTGTACACATGATTGACGGAACATGCGGCACGTTTCACCGAATGTCATCACTGGATGCAGTGCATCACGCTCGTTAAACCTTCAACACTTATGCTTGGATATCTGTCAGTTAAGGATGTTTGGTTATAATGAAAAAAAAAAAAATTTAAAAAAAAATGCAAAGACCTTCTTCTAATGTATTGGAAATGGGCCCCTGACTCACAGAGTTGTCGAACATCAAAATAATTGTATTTAATCAGTTTTCTAATTGAAGTCATATACGCTGTGATTCATATTGCAGCTGGAGTCAGTTGCATACTTAAGCAGCGGCTAGGCCACGTTGCGATGGCAACTCATCCATCAAGTGGATGGGAGGAAGTGCATTCTGGCAACCTTTCTCTGGTGGCCAGGCTCTGAAGTATATCTCCGCAGCCTTTGTATTCTCACTGGTTGTTACCGGTAATGAAGCGTATATGGCCCAGAAAGGCAGTAGCAATTAAGTTAACATTTGCTTAACAATTAAAGCGTGATTAAATTTTTCCAACTGCCTCTGTTAAACTTTCTTGTCACTTGTGTTAATTTTCACATTCAGACACACTTGATGTATTATAGTTACATAGAATTAGATTAAATTACGACACTAAGTGAAAAATGGGAAGGCATTGTTACTGCAAAACAAGCCAACATTAATAACCGATATAACAAGAAAAAAGAAATTTAATTTGAATATGAACACTAATTAATATTGTAAAATATTGAATTTATTTTGTAGTTACTTCATTTTGTTTATTTAATCTATATTATTGTAACTTTATTCAATTCATTTAATGATTAAGATTAATTTTGCAAAAACTGTCTCAATTAATTATGAAATGAATATATTTCTTGATAGATTAATATGTTGAAAATCTTGGAGGATGTACATAGTCCTACATATTTCACAAATGTATACAAGCCAATTTCCTGTCTGTTTTACGCAGACTACAGAAATCTCTCTAATTCCTTCCTCCAATATGCTTAGCTAAAGTTAATTTTGTTTAATTCAAAGTTATCCATTTTCCATAATTTTCTGAATTTAATGATTTCTTTATATCTGTATTGCTTTTAAACAAAATTGTTTACACTCTTTCCTGTCTTGTCAATTTACCCACCATCATCCCATGCTTTTGTATCTTTGACATCCCTATTCATCAAAATCTATAACATTTAGTGATCAACAAGAAGTTTCTTTTGAAAAAGTGTGGTCTATTTCAGAAGAATGGTCTATTTCAAAAAGTATTGAAGATATTGAGGTCGAAGGTTAATAAGCAAGGTCATCCAGGACCTTCTGGTTATTGTTCTTGATCGTCTTCCTCTGGAGGTCATCACTATTTTAATACGAGGCATGTTTACTTCCCTCCAATATTCTTCAAATGAAAACTTGACGCAGCATTCTGCAACCAATTTCTCCTGAGGCCTAGGTGTTGACAACTTAGATTTTCCTTAACATGGTGTAGACTACAGATGACTATAAGCTGTGACATACAAAACCATGTAACGTGCATGTTCGTAATAAACTCATTTAACCCAAAAGTTTACATAACTTCAAATGCTTGTTGACTGCTGGCAGACAAAAGGGACACTTAATTTTAAAGAGAAGTAAGTTGGGTAAAATAAAATTACTTAAACGTACCTTGAGACATCATTTAAAACACCTGGCTGACGATGCTGGGGGAAAATTTCTGGATGTTTTTAACTTGTTCTGTTGTGTGGGTGTAACATATAGTGCCTGTGGGAATATAACTGTTTGTGTTAAGCGAAAAGAGTTGAAAAATAAAATTCAATATATTGAATACTAACATCTTGATAATAGTTGGCGATAATGATGATAGTAAAGATGATTTTGTGAGTATTTTAAATCTACCATGATTTAAAATAGGTAACATTCAATGTCTGAGGTTGAATTTTATCATTAAATAATTGTAATTTTTCAATTAGTTATTTCCTTCCCAGACACTTTAAAACTGCATTTTTTTCTGATTTCATTTTCAGCAGAATTAACTGGACTATAAAATAGTGATGAATCATTATTTACAAATTATTTTATAGATACAAGATTATATAGATTGATATAATAATAAAAGCAACATCAATAATAATTATTTATAAAAAACTTGCATTTTACATTACAATATAATTATTAATTTATGTTTTTCATATCATATCATATCATTTATTTCACCAGTAAAAACAATAAAAAAATGTATGGCTGACTGGCCGGATTGCCCAAAAGCAACGCAAAGTTACTGTCATGGGGCTCTCCTGGCAACGCATACAGTACAATAATACATAAAACATAAATACGGTAACTATATATAAAACCATCTCTTTAAAAATTTCATT